TGCCTGAGGAAGGAACTTAAGGAACATCTGACAGCTTGCATATTTAATAACTTCAAAAAGGGTTTTAAAATTTAGTGGCCATGGTTAACAGTAGATTCAAACCTGGTATATATCTGGAACCAGCCTGAGTAAGACTTTGTAGTGATTGGTGTGAAAAGTGTATTACTGTAGTCCAGCCTCTTTAATATAAATGAGTTTTATGGGATGAAGTAGGATGAGACCAGTGTGTGAGGGTGGGAGTGCATGAAATAAATAATCCACACAGAAGTTTGCTTCAATGTTGAATATTATTGTTGAGTTTATCTGTTCAGTTCTCTTCTGTAGTGAAAAAAACAACCATAAATAAAACACTTTAAAAAAAGAAGAAAAAAACTTTCTGTATTTAAACTTATTTAATCTGCTTGGAGTCGGCAGCTCTGTATCTGGGCATTGATTATGGCCATACCCTTAGTGAATTTTTGTATTACATGGTGATTTGTAAATAAATTATGGGCAAGCTGCTAAAACATAACTGAATATAATAAGTTTCGCTCTGTCAAACCATTTTTAATTATGTCAGGTCTGTGTTTCCGAGGGACCCCCAGCTGGACAGAACAGCCAGGCAGCTGACCTCCAGTTAATTTATTAAGCAAAGTTGAGGATTCCCCCTCAGCCTGCTTTTGGACAACACAGGAGCAGCCTTCTGTTCACAGTGTTAGACTGACAACACTGTGCAAAGCAACCGAGCCCCAATGTATCAGAGTGAGGATCCCTTGTCTGTGCAGGAGGTTACAGGAAGCTAACATGAAAACACATATGGGTACTCATGCTTGCTGCATTCAAAAATACATTTAGGGGGTTATTCACAAAAGAGCCGAAGGATCCAGCCATAGCTTCGGCTGATCTTTCGGCTCGTTTCGGCCACCTCTGCCCTCCGGTTCAGTCGAACCGAAGGGCTGCTGTAAAGGCTATTCACAATAGCCGTGCAGCAGCCGAAGGATGCTGAGCTCAGTGAGCTGAACGCATATGCTTCAGCTTGGCTGAGCCGTAGTGACAGGCGAAGCTTGGAGAAAGCACGCAAATGACAGCTGGGCATCACGGCCGGCTCTGCCCAGTTGTTTTTTATTTTTGCCCGGGATCTGCTAGATGACTCTGGCAGGTGCCGGCCAAAAGTAAACAGTTGGGTGCAGCTAGCGGTGATGCCACTGCTAGCTCAGCCCAATCATTTATATTCTGCCGCAATCTGTCAGATTCTTCATTATGCAGCGTAAGTTCGTTGTGTGCGGTCGGGTCGGCGTGCGGTGTTTTAAAAAAAACATTATTTATTTATTTATTATTTTTATTTCGTCGAGTCATCGTCGTGGACAACATTGGACATCGTGATTGACCTTAGGATTAAGTCGGTGGATCCATTTTTTTTTTAACAATAAAGGACTTGTCAAAAACCTTTGTTGTGTTTTTTTCAATTAAAGGATTTTTAAAATAAAAGTCTGGACTTTTTATTTAAATTTATTTGAACCCTTTAGTGAATGGGTAGGGGTACCCCTTACT